CCCAGTTGGGGCGCTGGGTACTAGTCCCGGTTGCTCCTCTTCCAGTCCAGCTCTCTGCTGCAGCCCTGGAGGGCAGTGGAGGATGGTCCAAGTGCTTGGGTCCCTGCACCCACATGGGAGACCAGGAGGAAGCACCTGGCTCCTGGCTTCAGATCGGCGCAGTGCCGGCTGTGGCAGCCATTAGGGGAGCGAATCAACGGAAGGAAGGCTGTTCTCTCTGTCTCTCTCTCACTGTCTGTAACTCTCTCACTGTCTGGCTCTGCTTGGAAGAGAAGAGAAGAGAAGAGAAGAGAAGAGAAGAGAAGAGAAGAGAAGAGAAGAGAAGAGAAGAGAAGAGAAGAGAAGAGAGGAGAAGAGAGGAGAGGAGGGGAGGGGAGGGGAGGGGAAGGGAGGGGAGGGGAAGGGAGGGGAAGGGAGGGGAGGGGAAGGGAGGGGAGGGGAGGGGAGGGGAGGGGAAGGGAGGGGAGGGGAAGGGAGGGGAGGGGAGACGATGTTTTCTGATCATCACTTTCTCCATCTTGAAGAAGAAAACTGTTACGAAATAGGTGAGCAGATCATGTGTAATATGTACCCCAACATTCATATCGCTACAAGCTTTTATATTCTCCCCCCTATTATAACAAGAAATTTCTAGCATCTCAGGTTTACCTGATATGAATGTTGACTTGAGATGTTGAGAAAAGCTCAAAAGAACATATAATTTAAACAACTTCCAACTGCTTGAGCCAGCATATTAAATCCAGAATCTCCTGTAAGTACATCACTATTGATAAGTTCCATCCTGATTGATTACTTCTGTGGTTGTGCTCTTCCTGCCTTGGACTATTACCCGCAGAATGCATTTATACAATATTCTCCATAGTTTACTGACACAGCCTAGCCATCTTTCACATTCTGTTCCTGGAAGTGGCTTTGTAATTGATCTGAGGCATACACATTTCTGTCTGCTACATGTCTCGTGATCTTCTGGTGGGAGCAGGGTGTGAGAATTGACTGGCCTTGTAAAACCATTCTCTAGGCTGTCTGCTGAGTGCATTGAGGACCTCTCAGACTACACAGAAACAGTATCTCCAGACAAGAATATCATTTTAACTAAAAATAATAAAACTTGTGTGAAACATGTCTAGTGAGTCAGAATGTTTATTATACAGCATAGTAAGAATTCTAAATCAGTGATACTTGTAAGCTCCATCCCTACTTATTCAGTTTTCTTGTTCTGTCCTCTGTGTATTCTTTTTGTCCTCAACCTGTCTACAACTCATGGCACACAAATCCTCCCATTTCAAATCTGCATCAATAACACTCAGCAGGAAAACAGCATCCACAGAATAGCTTTCAATATTGGGTTCCAGAACCAATTACTAATAAGGGGTAGGAAATTAACATGATAGCTCAATCTAATAGGATTTACCCCAGTACATGAGGATATATTGAAAATCTGGATAAAAAAAGGCAGTTTCCATTAGAAAGAAGCAAGGATAAAAGCCCGCCTGGTATAGAACATGCTGTATGGTGTGACATCTACTGAGTCTAAAAAAAAATAGTCTTGGGGACCAGCATTGTGGTATAATAGGTAAAGCCACTGCAATTTCTATGAGCACCAGTAGAACTCCCCACTGCTCCACGTTCAATCCAGTTCCCTGCTAATACACCTGGATGAGCAGCAGAAGATGGTCCAAGTAGTTGGGGCCCTGCACCCACCTGGGAGGCATGAAAGAAGCTCCTGGCTCCTGGATTCAGTCTGGCTCAGCCAGCCATTATGGCCATCTGGGAGTGAACCAGCAAAAGGAAGATCTTTCTGCTTCTTCCTCTCTCTCTGTCTCTGTCTCTCTCTCTCTGTAACTCTGCCTTTCAAATAAATCTTTTTAAAAATATTTATTTATTTACTTACACAGAGAGAGAAGCAGAGGCAGAGAGGGAGGGAGGGAGAGAGAGAGAGAGAGAGAGAGAGTCTTCCATCCGCTGGTTCACTTCCCAACTAGCCGCAACGGCCAGAGCTGTGCTGATCCAAAGCCAGGAACCAGGAGCTTCTTCTGGGTCTCTCACTAGGGTGCAGGGGCCCAAGTACTTGGGCCATCTTCCACTGCTTTCCCAGGCCATAGCAGAGAGCTGGATTGGAAGTAGAGCAGTCGGGACTTGAACTGGCGCCCATATGGGATGCCGGCACTGCAAGTGGTGGTTTAACCACTATGCCACAGAGCTGGCACCACCAAATAAATCTTTAAAAAATGTTCTCTCATATCTACTAGTTAAATAAGAATAATTAAAATGTAGTATTTTTAGAGCTCATGCTCAATCTTGGAAATAAATGCATTTTTTTTCTCATTTTTACTCTCCACGACAACTCTGCTTTGGCATGATAGAGCATTCCCTTCCTAGTGGAGAGTCTATTTCTTTTATATCCTTGGCTATTTACACCGATTTAGCTGGATATGTGCTTACCAAATGACTACCACCTACCTGCCTAAGTAAAGAATACAATTCAATTTAAATGACAAAATAGGTTAAATGAAATAAGGGGAGGAGGCAGTGTGTACACCTTTTCATTACATCCACACTTTCTATAAGTACACCTTTTGATGTACTTGTTTCAAAAGCATATTTTTGAGATAAAGATATACTTTTGGAATACTTAAGTACAGCTTTAAATACATGTTTGGAAGTACCCATACTTCTTTTTTTTTAACTTTTATTTAATGAATATAAATTTCCAAAGTACAGCTTATGGATTACAATGGCTTCCCCCCCATAACGTCCCTCCCACCCCCCAACCCTCCCCTTTCCCACTCCCTCTCCCCTTCCATTCACATCAAGATTCATTTTCAATTCTCTTTATATACAGAAGATCAGTTTAGCATACATTAAGTAAAGATTTCAACAGTTTGCTCCCACACAGAAACATAAAGTGAAAAATACTGTTTGAGTACTAGTTATAGCATTAAATCTCAATGTACAGCACACTAAGGACAAAGATCCTACATGAGGAGTAAGTTCACAGTGACTCCTGTTGTTAACTTAACAAATTGACACTCTTGTTTACGGCATCAGTAATCACCCTAGGCTCTTGTCATGAATTGCCAAGGCTATGGAAGCCCCCTGAGTTCACCGACTCTTATCATATTTAGACAAGGCCATGGTCAAAGTGGAAGTTCTCTCCTCCCTTCAGAGAAAGGTACCTCCTTCTTTGATGACCCGTTCTTTCCACTGGGATCTCACTCGTGGAGATCTTTCTTTTAGTTTTTTTTTTTTTTCCCCCCAGAATGTCTTGGCTTTCCATGCCTGAAATACTCTCATGGGCTTTTCAGCCAGATCCGCATGCCTTAAGGCCTGTTTCTGAGGCCAGTGTGCTGTTTAGGACATCTGCCATTCTATGGGTCTGCTGTGTATCTCACTTCCCATGTTGGATCATTCTCTCCCTTTTTTATTCTATCAGCTGGTATTTGCAGACACTAGTCTTGTTTATGTGATCCCTTTGGTTCTTAGTCCTATCATTGTGATCAATTGTGAACAGAATTGATCACTGGGACTAGTGAGATGGCATTGGTACATGCCACCTCGATGGGATTGAATTGGAATCCCCTGGTATGTTTCTAACTCTACCGTTTGAGGTAAGTCAGCTTGAGCATGTCCCGAATTGCACATCTCTTCCCTCTCTTATTCCCACTCTTATATTTAACAGCAATCACTTTTCAGTTAAGTTTCAGCACTTAAGAAGAATTGTGTATTGATTACAGTATTCAACCAAAAGTATTAAGTAGAACAAACAGAAAAATACGAAGAGGGATAACGTATTAAGTTGTTCATCAACAGTCAGGGTGAGGGCTGATCAAGTCACCATTTCTCATAGTGTTCGTTTCACTTTAACAGGTTTCCTTTTTGGTGCTCAGTTAGTTGTCACCTATCAGGGAGAACATGTGGTATTTGTCCCTTTGAGATTGGCTTATTTCACTCAGCATAATGTTTTCCAAATTCCTAATAGGGATCACTTTTCAGTTAAAATTTAAACACCTAAGAATAATTGTGTGTTAATTACAGAGTTCAACCAATGGGGAAGTACCTATACTTCTTAAAACAACATTTTCCAAGTTTGGTGGCTTAAAAATGGTCACAAAATTGTTTACAGCCACTTTTATCAAGAAGTGGAATCTATTTGCTCCTTAAATTTGAGCTGGCCTTGTAACTTGCTTTGACCAATAAAAAGTCATCTATTGCTAAATGACGATTTGCGACTTCTGAAAAAGCCCTCAAGAGACTTTAGCAGCTTCAACTCCAACCTTCTTTGGAATCTTGACACCACGTTAAGACTGAACTAGTCTGCTGGAGGGGCTGTGTGGAGGGAACCCAGACATCCTAATCATTAATCCCAACTAGTTGCCAACTTATTTCAATCAAGTAAGGCCAGCTGGCACCATGTGGAACAGAGAGGAGTTGTCTCAACAGAGACTTGCACAAATTACTGACTCAAGAATTAAGAACAAATAAATGGTCATTATTTTAAGCCACTAAGTTTTGAAGTAGCTTTCATGTAGTAATATATAACTGATACTCTAAGCCTTTCTTAGTTTTCATTGTTTTTTTTTTTTCAGTTATCTTTCTATTGTCTTTTTAGTAGGGTTTGTTGAGGAAGCAGACTAAAAAGAGTGCTGTGGCCGGCGCCGCGGCTCACTAGGCTAATCCTCCAGCTGCAGCGCCGGCACCCTGGGTTCTAGTCCCAGTTGGGGCGCCAGGTGCTAGTCCCAGTTGCTCCTCTTCCAGTCCAGCTCTCTGCTGTGGCCTGGGAGGGCAGTGAAGGATGGCCCAAGTACTTGGGTCCCTGCACCCGCATAGGAGACCAGGAGGAAGTACCTGGCTCCTGGCTTTGAATCAGCATAGCGCCAGCTGTGGGGCCATTAGGGGAGTGAACCAACGGAAGGAAGACCTTTTTCTCTGTCTCTCTCTCATTGTCTATAACTCTCTCTCTGTCTCTCTCTCTCACTGTCTGACTCTGCCTGGCGAAGATATAAAAAACTTCTCTACCTGCCATGCAACATAAATGAAGACACACATGCCCCATGACAAAGGCACTGGGAAATCATCAAGTCACCACCATCCGTAGTGAATGTTCATTGACCTACTCTGTGATATGATGGTGGAGTAAACTGTTTAGAGGAAACAAAGATGTTTTCTTGCCTAATCCTGGGTATATCCAATTATCTTGGAGCTACCCTTTTGGGATTGTCTGATGTTATGGTCTAAAAATCTGTTACTTTAGGATCATTCGAAGGGTTTATACCTATTATTACTGCTATAAATATGTCCCTGGAGTTATCTTGCCTACTGTATCATTTCTGAGTGACTTAATCAGACTTGCGTGGCTTGGCGTGGTTTTTAGCACCTTGCCTAGGTTCCCTCTAATTTCAAGCAGAGGGTTTACCACCCTGGGCCATCTTACACCACCCTTTGTCTGGCTGTGTCCACTGCAGACATTATGTTACCCTTTTGGCTATTTGTATATTTCTTCACTTACTCGTCTTCCCCAATTATTTTTATTCATAATTTACTGGTTTTTAAGTATCTACCACAGCCATTTTCATATTGTTCCCTGTTTTATATGTCATTTTCCTCTTTGCCTTCTCTCCCCACCACCACATCTGCTTTCCTCTCTTTCATTTTCCCCATTCATTTGTTCCCTGCTGTTCTGTTTTCCTTTGTTCAATACAGAACATTGGCCGGAAGCTTCCCTGTTGCTAAGTAACCACATCACCCACGCACACCCTATCCCACTCTCAACTCATTTCTTCTTCTGCTTTAATAAGCTCATGGGGCCAAGTGATCTCTGTAAGAAAATGAAGGGCGCTGCTGTCTTCTCTTCACAAGTCAGGGACGTATACCTTCCCATACCCTCCCTCTTCGCACTAGATTTTGGTTTCTTGTTTTTTTGATACTTCAACCCACGCTGTAAGATGATGCTAAGAAAGTACAAAACATCCCTTTGAGCTTACACAATTTATAGAAGAGAGGAAGAGATACAATTTCTGTCAATGGAACTGTAGAAGAGAAAATGGTTGAAGTTCAGCTATAAGGCATGGCATGGGCTCATTAAGGGCTTGTGCATAAACCCCGAACCAAATCCATCTCTCCCTAGTAAGAAATTTCCACTACAAACCCAGTTAGCTAGAAAGTCACTCTTACAGACCTTTATTCTGTTGAGTTGTAAGAAGTTGTTAATGGCATGTTACGTGTAGTTTGCACAAAATAAAGAACAAAAACAATGCAAGAAGTTATTATGGAGTTTTCCAAATTCCAGTCCTTTTCCAGACACCAATCTGACATGGCATTTGTGCCAAAAGCATAATTGGAGGTGTGGCAGCCCTTCACACAGGTGTTCTTAAGGGATTCCAAGTCCTCCAGCACATTTTAATCATTTAATGGGAATGGTAACTCCATATGACACAACACTAGCACAGAGGCACAGCAGATCTGAAGAAATCTCCTTTCACCCTTGCAATGCCATAAATAATTTCCCTCCCTGGTGTGAATTCTTTCTCTGCCCTTGTGCATGTATGCAATGCCTGGGAGGCCTTCTTTGCTAAGCCCACCCCGCATTGTTGCTCTCGGCTTTCTGCCTGCAGTTAGCACTGTGCTAATTGGTGGTGTCGGGAGCAGCTCTGCCAGTAGTATTATAGTGTTTCATGGAGGTGCCTGGCCCAGATCTTCAGGTACAGCTCTTCGTATGGGAAGGACTTGAATCCTGCTTGTGAAGTTCAACACATTGTGTCACACTGAATCCTAGAACTCAGATACTCAGACAAGAGGGTTGTTTTTTATTTCACTTTCCAGAGAAAGGGAACAGTAGTTTTCTTTATATTAAGGTCCAAGTTCATCTGCAGTCAAAATCCCAGAAATGACGCTTCTGTGTTTCTATCATTATCCTGAAGTACACACTGAAAAGCAAGAGCTTTTTTTGTCAGGACCTGTTCATGTTCTGAAAGTGGAATCCTGTGAAACTACACGCACTCTCAGGCATTCTAGGAATGCCTGAGCAGAGCCGGAACCGACAAACTACCGCGCTCTTCCAAAACAGAGCCCCTTTGAGAGGGTAGGTCTTCTGAGAGGCTCCGAACGTTTTAATATTACTTCAGTTTTTATTTTAAGGTAATCTCATCTAAGGAAACATGTATTTGAACTTCCTAGAATTTTTATTTCATATTCTGCTTATTTTAAGCAACAGAATTTACAAAATATTCACCATCTTTCAGAATTCAGTTCTCGTTGAACTCTTCTCTGCACTCTAAGGCACCAGTAGCACCACTATGGCATATTAACCTCACTTATTTACACTTCTGTACATTGAATTCCTTTTTCCCTTCCATTCTCCTCACCGATGTGGTCTACGAGGTAAGAGTTCCTCCTGGCACTGGAAACTGTTCTCCCTTCCCAGAACACAGACTAACTTGGCACCTACAACATCTACCTGGTGATATTTACCCAGTGTGCCGGAGGCCTCTCGCTTTTTTTGACCTCTCAAATTGAAGGATCCCTCTGTTCACCTCGGCCACACCATTATCACGTGGCACTGTTTCACGAATGACACAGTGGAAGTTTTTCTTCCCGGTCATAACTCCTTCCTCTTCCAGCTTTGATTTAGCTGCTCTTCACACACTTTCCAACAGGACTTTCACCCATGAGTTCAATCTGTAGTCTTTCCCTGTAAGCCTCCTCCTGTCCACTCTCTTTAACTGGGCTCCCACAATCCATCTCTTCGATCACTTCTCTAGTATCTCGATTTCATTTCCCTCCCTCATTGGCCTGGCAAATGTGTGACCTTGAATGAGCTCATCTTCATGTCTTCCCTGTCTGCTCCCAGGCTAATGAGGTCTCTTGGGGAGATGACATAACATGAGTTTTATTCCAACTCCATGGCACAGTGCACTGGTCCCTCTAGGCTGCCCACCTTCTCTCCTGTTTCCCTATCATATGCATCCCCATCTACTTTTCGTAGACCATCATTCACTTATTTACTCATCCATTCCCAAAATGTTTACTGCATGCTAACAGTAACAGCATGCTGCATTCTGGGAGATAACTATGAGCGAGACAGTCAAGGTCAGCTTTCTCAGACTTCTGAAGGTCTAGCCTGAAATAATGAAATGGTAATAATCCAGTGAAATGCTTCATTTGGAGTTAATGTTTGGAAAGAATGGCAAATTGACGGAATACTTACTATTAGGAATGGGATAGGATGGTTAGGGGAAAAAAGGAAGGCAGCCTGGAGAGACCTGGTGCAGAACAGGGAAGACATGAAGATGAACTCATTCTTGGTTGCGTTTTACCACACTAATGAGGGGCAGGAGTTGAGATGCTAGAGAAATCTAATCAACAATGTAATATTTCAGATTTAAAAGTCTTACACTATATGTGGTACCTTTGATAACAATTTATTTTCTAAACAGATCATGTGACTCTCCAGAAAACTATTCAACAGTTAAAGGGGATCCACCTTCTCCAAAACTGCTTGTATAGTTTTGCAATAGATACCTAAAATACTAACCTGCTAATATTTAGTTATTTGTACTTCTTGTTTTTTAACAAGATAGGAATCAAAAATAGAAATATTCTGGTTTTTAAATGTAAACATTACAGAAGTATTCAGAATAAAATGAACTCCTCACCATTCCTCCTCGCTTTTGCATTCCCACTCCCTACATATAATCCTATTAAGATGTGCATCCATCTAGTTCCCATTTCCATACACTAAAAATGTTTGCAGACCTACACCTACATGTCCAAACTGTGGAAGCTTCATAGTTAAATAACCTTTTTGACAAGGAAAAAATTATATACATACATACATGCATACAAGAAATGTGTGTCTTCTTTTAACTTGAAATAAACTTTATTACCTAAAAAACAAATCATTTGACCTACTTTTGATTTTATTCAGCTATTTTCTATAAGCTGATAAGAAAGCTTCTGGATAAAGAATGTTAATGATCCATGGAACAACACAAAGAACTTACTTCCTGACTCAATGTTTGTAACAAGTTATTTTGGAAGTTAGGGAACTCAACAGAGAGGATCTGTAGGGACACATAAGGACTCTACCAAACACTTTTTATCACAAACTTGGTGTTTACCTATATGAAGTGTAAACTATCTTTGGCTATTAATATCATAATTTCCAAAAAATGTTTTTAGTACTATAGAAAGTCATAACCTGTAGTTAATACAGGACTGACAGATAGTAAATTGAGCTAACTGAACATATAGGGACGAATACTCACTGGGTAGTGTCTCAGTATTTTTCTTTCTTTCCTGCAGCTATGGCTTAGATGTGGACCATTTCCTAAGGACTCCCATGTTAAAGGCTGGGTCTCCAGGGGAGAGCTGTTGGGAGGTGGTGGAACCTTTAGGAGATGAGGCCTGGTGGGAGGTCCTTAGTTCATTGGGACTGTGCTCTCAATGGGAGTTCTTGAGTGACCTCTTGGGTTCTGAGAGGGCTGTTGAAAAACCCTGAACTTGGGCCCTGCCCACTGTCTCTGCCTCCTGGCTCATCATGGAATACCTCCTCCTGCCAAGAGTACCTCACCAGAGCTAAAGCCTGTACCACATGATTTGGGCTTTGAATCTCCAAAACAGTGAGCTAGATAACCTTTTTCTCTTTATAAGTTAGCTGCCTCAGGTATTTTGTGACAGTCAAGAAAAATGGACCTAAAGTAATTTATAGCCCTTGTGACAAGAATTCAGTGCAACTTTTAAATTTGACCTAGCTTTTACAGTTGCTGTTTGTTCGTTGCAGCAAGACAAATAATAACTTCTGATCATTTCTAAAGGCAAAAAGAAAGTCAATTTCTTCCACAACGTGCAGAAGTGAGTGCACAATTTGGGACAGGATTATGCAGTACATATTCCACATCTTAGTCTGCTGAAATCCTTTATGTAGTACCTGTTTATTTACCAGGCTTTTAAACTCCTCATTCGATTCTACAATGAAAAAGCACTATAATTCATTAAATAACTTTCTTTTTATTTAATTTTATTTCTTGTTATAACAAACATGCTCTAATGAGATACTTATGCATTTATTTTTCTTCATATATCTAAGTATTTCTGTAAGATATATACCTAGAATTAAAATTTTTAGGTAAAAAGGCCTATTTTTGTTTATATGTATAAATACAAACTTTTACACGTTAAAATTGCCAAAGCACACAAAAAGTTAATTCACAGAACAGCAAATGTAAACCAACAAACACAGATAAAAATACTCAAATATATTAATAGCCAGGAAAATAAAAATTAAACAATGGGATATTACTTAATGGCAAACATTTAAAAGATCAATAAAACCTAATACTGGCGAAGATGTGGGAAAAAGAGTTGCTTTAGCATTTTTGAAAAGCAATCTGGCTACATCTGTTAAAGTTATAAATACATGTAAACTTTGACCAACAAATCTATGAACTATTAAAGCCCAATCCCCTAAAAATAGAAGGCCAAAGGTCAGCATATATAAACAAAGCTGTTTTGGGCAACGTTTATTTCATTCTACAAATATTTATTAAGAGTTTGACTTTGTTGCCTTCACTTCAAAGACAAACAAGGCCGAGGGTCTGCCCTTCCAGTTTGCTCACAGGCTGTAGAGGAGACAATGGTTGGAGTTCATGAGAAAGGTACTATGGAAGCAAACCAGGCCTAGGAGGGAGGGGTGCAAAGACTGAACTGAAAAGCAAACTTTGGGGACTGTAACACATAATATGCTTCCCAGACCTTTGATTACGTGGTGTAGGCCAGGAAAGTAGGACAGAGTGAAGACAGTAAAGGTACTTGCGTATGGGGAACACAGGACCCACGAACTTGTCAAACAGGTTGGTGTCCCTAAAAGTCACACGTACTTACGTACTTGAATTTTTGCAGTGGAAATGGAGACAGAATATGAGGTGAATCACTGAAAAAATGTATTTCCTTTTAGGGAACAGATCTAAAGAGTCTGTATTTAAGTGGTGGACAAAGTGCTCTTTTGCTCCTAAGCCTCATACGCAATACACTCGGTAAAGATGTTTGCTGACTCAAACAAGTCATCACGGGATGAGCATACTAACCAAATGTAGCCCAGACAGACTTAATTTCAGTCAGAAATGTCTCCCATTCCAGCCTTTTCCGCAAACAGGCCTTTGTCCTTTCCTTCTTATTTCCTCCCTTCCTTCCCTTCTCCCTACTCCTCTCCTTTCCTCCCTTTCGTTCGTTTCTTTCCTCACCATTTTTCAGAGGAAAGTCTGCAGTCAAAGTGGAGTTTGAAATCCTGTTACCCTCATTTTGACCCCATTATTTCACCAGTTAACGACGAGGCAAAATCATCAGCTCTTAAATCATAAAGTTTAAAGGCAAAACAACCAGTGCTGAGCAATCTTAAAAACATGACTGCTACATAGGAAAAGAATCGCTAACATTCAAAGCAAACGCACACAACAGGCAGTTCTTTAGAACCTGGTAATGCAGGACAACCCCACTTCGGTGAGAAGCAGATCTCAGGAAGAGGTTTTCAGCCAGCAAGGAAACAAGAACGGCGCGTTTGGAAGGCCCATTTGCTCCCTGACTGTTGTGAACTGCGGCAAACATTAGCACTGGTTCTTTCATGCAAAGGTTGGGACCTCCATAGAATAATGAAAATGTTCCCAGGAGTTAACTGCTGCCTGGCATTGCTCCCATATCAACAGCAAAACAACTGCATAGCAACCTACATTTGCCCAATTCCTCACTCATTCCTGCTTGTCCAGGGAATACAGCCCTTTAGACCCCGTCTGCCTGGTGAAGTATGTCAAACAGGAGTGGAGTCTACATGCCAAATCAGGGAGCCAGGCTTGCTGGCATTTCCCAGCGCATGCTGCTCACCACGTGGCTTCCTGGAGTGCTGCCTCTCCCCTCCCCCATTTCCTCAATGCAGACGACATGTAACAAACATTAGCAAGTAGGTGTGTGTGAGCTCCCAACTGCCCAAGTACCCTTTAGATCCTGTGACCTGTTTTTTGAATCATAGGAGACACTTCCCAGTTTGTTTTCTGCATTCTCAGAAATACAGAGTTCCCAGCGAAAGCAGAAGAACTGTCACTTCTGAAACAAAGAAAAACCACTCTGCAGACTGCTTTGCAGGCCCACTGGCCATCTGTGTATTTCCTTACGGCAGCGCTGCTCTATCTGGCACTCCAGCCACGGGACCATTGCACGAATGCAGACTTAGCGCTTCTCCTCTGTTCCAGAGCATGTTCCCTTGAACTCGATCATCTGCTTCTCAGTAAGAAGTAGAAAATAGTATTTAGAAAATAAAACTAGCAAGTGACTCGCAGTGAATAAAAACAAAGCAGGGTGCAAGTTGTCAGCATCTTTAAGATAAAAACAACATAAAATGCTCCACAATGGGAGAAACAACTCACTTTTTCAAACCTCCTGAAGGGACGTCTTCAAGTGATAGGCAGGAGATGGGTATGTGGGGGTTAAGTTAAGCTCAAGTAAATTCAAGAGGCAAGAGCACCAGCCTCATCATGCATATTCATAAGCGGCAACCTGAGCTCCAGTGCAAAACCACAGTGTGACTGTGTTTCCTGCACACTTTGCATCCCGCACTGCCAGGAAATACTGCAACACTGAGGAGATTGTGCCTTACCGTGTAGCATGGTTCAGAAGAATGACAATTGTTCATTGACAACTTACGGCACATATTGACTGGATTTTCTCCATAGGCCTTGTGACAGCTCGAGAAGTACCCATCTGTCAGCATACAGCTTGAGAGCCATCATCATGCTAGAAAGAATTTCAAGGCTTTGTCTACAAGAAGCAAAAAGGAATATGGTTATTAATATTCAGCCTTGGGTATTTATTATTAATACTCTGATGGAGAACTAGGTCAGTGTAACACACATGTGAAGACAATGGCTCTCCATTTACTGCTTCTCTTCTCAATAGACTTTCTACAACAAAATACTCGGTCAGTCTCACTGCCAGGTAATATAAACCAGAAGCCTTGTTTGACTGGTGTTGTGGTTTAGCGGTGAGTACCTTCCAGCAAAATCTGGGGAGGCATGTACCAGATCTTTCATTCATTTACTCAACAAATATTTATCAGTGCCACTATATGTACCATGTGTGTACACACTTGGAAAAACTTAGTGAACAAAACAGATAATAGTAGTGTCTCCATCATGAAGCCAATGGCCAACTGAGTGATTCACACTGCAGTGCTGTTATAGGAAAGAAAACACCTTATCATACACCTGTCACTGAAGGGCCTGCACCATTTTGTTTAATTTATTTCAAATGTCCTTAATGAAGAAATTGGTATGTGTACCCATAAAGGGGGTGGGGGGAGGAAATATAAGTCACATTCAGATTCAACAAATGAACTGAGGAGATGATGCAAAAAAATGACAGAAAGATGTACTTTTATCATCTATTAAAGATGGAAGACACTAGTACTGAGAAATACAAAAGAACACCAATACAGATGGAAAACCCCAATTTGTTCTCATAGAAAGGCACAATACACCATCAAGGTATCAACTCTCCCTATTTTAATCTACACATTGATAGAAGACAAAAAAATTTCATAATGATATTTTGAAAAAGATAAACTGATTCTAAAGTGTGAAGAAAAATCTAAGGGGAGAAATTGTGTTGAAGGAGGAGGTGGCCCTGGCAGATGCTGAAATACAGAGCTTTAATAACTAAAAGTGAAGTACTAACCCATAAATGAATACACAAACAATGGAATTGAATTAAGTGTCCTAAAATGGTTCCAAATGCATTTGGTGATTTTTGAAAAGGATTTATTTATTTGAAAGAGAGAGTATGAGAGAGAGAGAGAGAGAGAGAGATGGCTGCAAAAATCAGGTCTGGGCCAGGCTGAAGCCAAGAGCCAGGAACTCCATTCCATTCTGGTCTTCCACATGGTGGCAGGAACTCAGGTGATTAAGCCATCATCTACTGCTACACAGGCACATTATCAGGAAGCTGGACTGGAAGCAGAGTACCTGGAACTGGCACTGGCACTTTGATATGGAATGCCAGCATCCCAAGCGGCAGCTTATACCACTGTGGCACCACACCGGCACCATATTTGGTAACTTAATATCTGATCAACCCGGTGCATTTCCCATAGATCTGTTGACCTCATTAGCATTGTCAGCTGTGCTGCATGGTCCTCTGCCTCCTTCTCATCAAGAGGATTGGTGTAAAACACAGGCCCTTAGCAAAGAACTGTTCAGGAGTAAGAAAGAAGAGGTGGTAAGACACAGAAGCAACCATCCTACTATGCCACTTACAGTTTGGTGACCTTGAAAACACACTGGAGCTGTGCTATTTTTTCATTGTCTATAATATAGAATAATAAAGTTTATCTCAAGGCATTATTGTGAGGATAAAATAACTTGATATGTGTGTGTGTGTGTGTGTATCTGCCTAACAAATAACAAGTACTTAATAAGCATATCCTAAATAGCTTAATGGACATTTTAACTGTGGGTTGATTTTCTTAAACAACTTGTTTGTCTACAGACAGAAACTACTCTCTAAAAGTCTCAAACCCTTCTTTTCTACACACATGTAAATAAGAAAAGGAAAGAATTTTTTAAGCTTGCATCTTTTTAGAATCAATAGTTTTGTTACAGCAAAAGCTCTTTATAAATCAGATCAAGTTGTTGAACGGGGTGATGAAATCCAACAAGAGAAATTTTTGTTATGTAGCAGAGGAAAGAACCCTTGGACTTCAATGTTTAGAAGGAAAAGGTGGAAATTTTTAAAGACAGCCCTGGACTGCGATTAGGAATGATAGAAACCTGCCTTGTATATAGGGACTACCTGAACTCCAAGTGCAATGTTGAACTGCAGAATTAACTTTTGCATTAAAAAAGCTTGAACAATTCATGGAAGAAGGTAAAAATACAAAACTGTAAGAAAATTTGAAATCTCCACCTTTTGCTGTATTGTACAATTCAGTGCCTAAGCAAAGGCTAAAAGGATGATGACGAAAGTTTTTTCATTAAACATGGAAATCACATATACTCTAGGCAAATTTCATGACAAGTGGCAGTCTTGAGCAGTGTTGGGAAGGGATGAAGTGGCATCACTGGGTGGGAAGCAAGAGGCAGAATGGTCTATGGAAAGCTCAGAGACAGGAGGCAATCTAAAGAAGGAACAGTGAAGACTCTGATGGCTCCAGGAAGGCCTACAAAGTGATGAATGAGAAATAAACGGGTAGAGTGTTGGCTGAATAATCCTGATTTAAATTTGCCAGGTAAGTGATGAAAAGAGTGGTTGCTGCTGGCCAGGATGGTTTGAATATGGAAGGAGCTAGAGGCAGGAGGCCAATAAAGTTATTCCTGTTGTTCAGATAGAATGCTTAAATCCAAGCTGGCTTATGTCCATGGGAACGGAGACAGTACATGGTTGCAAGATGTCCTGCAGAGCAAGGAATCATGGATTTGGTGATTTTCTGGACAAAATGATAGAAGTGAAAGGTCTGACAAGGTTCAGCATACACAGGATGCAGGAAGGAGAACGGAGTCGTTGACAACGATGGCGATGTTCAACTTCAGGGAACATTTATAAGGAGAATGGGAGCAGAAAATAATCTGATTTGGGCTACACTTGGCTGTACATGGCAATCAACCAACAAATGACTCAAACTCAGCCAGAAAAAGGATCAAGATTTACATTCAGAATTCTTAGCAAAATAATATTATGCTGTTTCTCTCATCGTGAAGCTGAAAGTTTTTCCTTTATACAACAGGCACAAAACGCATTTATGAAGGTCATGCTTATTACTGACCTACATTTTCTGTAAAAAGGCAAAATGTATGTTATAGACACCAAGAAAAGACTCTTTCCTCCCACCTCCTCCTTCAAAGGGAGAACAGCAGAGGAGCACAGTTTTGACAGTCTTGCTAACCGGGGAAACGTTTCATGCAGCATCGTCAGCTCCACCATCTGTCTCGGCACAAAGTTCACCAGCTGCTGAATTAATGAATGTTCTCTAGGTCATCGTTTTGGTCCTTTCTTAGATATTGGTCTTTGAACATTTTTCAAAAGAGGAAATCCAAATGGCCAACAGGCACATGAAAAAACGTTCAAGGTCACTAGCAATCAGGGAAATGCAAATCAAAACCACAATGAGGTTTCACCTCACCCGGGTTAGAATGGCTCACATACAGAAATCTACCAACAACAGATGCTGGCGAGGATGTGGGGAAAAAGGGACACTAACCCACTGTTGGTGGGAATGCAAACTGGTCAAGCCACTATGGAAATCAGTCTGGAGATTCCTCAGAAACCTGAATATAACCCTACCATTCGACCCAGCCATCCCACTCCTTGGAATTTACCCAAAGGAGTTTAAATTGATAAACAAAAAAGCGGTCTGCACCCTAATGTTTATTGCAGCACAATTCACAATAGCCAAGACCTGGAACCAACCTAAATGCCCATCAACGGTAGACTGGATAAAGAAATTATGGGATATGTATTCTTTAGAGTACTATACCGCAGTAAGAAACAACGAAATCCAGTCATTTGCAACAAAATGGAGGAATCTGGAACACATCATGCTGAGTGAAGTAAGCCAGTCCCAAAGGGACAAATACCATATGTTCTCCCTGATCGGTGACAACTGACTGAACACCAAAAAGGAAACCTCCTGAAGTGAAATGGACACTATGAGAAATGGTGACTTGATCAGCATAGCCCTGACTGCTAATGGACAACTTAATACATTATCCCTCATAGTATTTTTTTTTTGTCTGTTCTACTTAATATGACTGGTTTAATTCTGTAATTATCACACAGTTATTCTTAAGTGTTGAAAATTAACTGAAATGTGATCCCTGTTAAACATAAGAGTGGGAATAAGAGAGGGAAGAGATGTATAATTTGGGGCATGCTCGGGCTGACTTACCCCAATTGGTAGAGTTGGAAACAGACCAGGGGATTCCAATTCAATCACATCAAGGTGGCATGTGCCAATGCCATCTCACTACTCCAAGTGATCAATTTCAGTTCACAATTGATCATAATGAAAGGACTAAGAGTCAAAGGGAGCACATAAACAAGTCTAGTATCTGCTAACACCAACCGATAGAATAAATAAAGGGGAGAGTGATCCAACATGGGAAGTGAGATACTCAGCAGACTCATAGAATGGCGGATGTCCTAAATAGCACTCTGGCCTCAGAATCAGCCCTAAAGGCACTCGGATCTGGCTGAAAAGCCCATGAGAGTATTTCAGGCATGGAAAGCCAAGACACTCTGGCAAAAAGATCTCTGTGAGTGAGATCCCAGTGGAAAGAACAGGTCTTCAAAGAGGGAGGTGCCTTTCTCTGAAGGGAGGAGAGAACCTCCACTTTGACTATGACCGTGTCTAAACAAGATAAGAGTCGGAGAACTCAAGGGGCTTCCATAGCCTTGGAAACTCATAACTGGTGCATAGGGAGATTACTGATGCCATAAACAGGAGTGTCAATTGGTAAAGTCAACAACAGGAGTCACTGTGCACTTACTCCTCATGTAGGATCTCTGTCCTTAACGTGCTGTACACTGAGGCTTAATGCTATAACGAGTACTCAAACAGTATATTTCACTTTGTGTTTCTATGGGGGTGCAAACGACTGAAATCTTTACTTAATGTACACTAAACTGATCTTCTGTAAAAAAAAAAAAAAAAAAAAAAGAAAGAAATTATCAATTCCCAACTTGACTCTCACTGGGATTAAACATGACAATAGGTCTGATCTGATTTCATCATCATTTTTAAAAAATCATCTATTATTTTTCACTTT